ACAACACGTGAAAACACCACCACAGCTGCCCGCAACACAGTGATCTGTGTATTGGAGGACCAAATAAAAGTTTATCCAATCCAATCCAATCCAAGCACATGAGTACAACACTCCAGCACACATTCCCAATAATACAACTGTACAAAGTTCTCCCACTACAACAATGGTACAATACTATACATCACATCACAGCACAACACTCCGACACTTGTGACACGGGATACCACAACATCAACACAACATAGGGCACTCAACACTGCCAAACACATTCTGCTTTGACCTCAGCACTTATCCTGCGTACTTTGAGCGGCGCTTGCGCCCCTTCTTGCGGTGCTCGCTCGATCTCTTCTTGTTTTTCCTTGTACCTTTTCGGCGAGCCTTTTCCAACGACGATATCTGAGGCGTCGTCTCAGCCATCGTTGTCTCTTCCGACACCGTTAACGCGTCATTACATTCGACGGGTCCTGTCTGTTTATTTACCCGCTTGATCATGCCTCTACATTTCGCCCGGCTGGCCAACTCCGTCTCCTTTACACTGTCGGTCGGTTGAGGTCGTGCCGACGTAAGTCCGGTTGCTCGGCCCGTGAACTTATTCGACACGATCGTCTTCTCCTTCGCTGTCTCTTGCGCCGTGGCTTCGCCTCGGGCTCTAGTGAGATCCGTCACGGGATGTTCCTCCACTGTATCTCGCGGCCGCTGTGTTGGCGAGGGCTCTATCTTCGGGTCTTCTCCCAAACATTCTGGATCACTTGGCCCTCGCGCCCCGTCGATGTTTCCGATGACAAGGTCATACAGAGGGGTCGTCATGCATAAAGCAGTAACCTTCCCGCTGAAGTACGGGGTTTCAACCTCAATTTCTGCTTCGGGAAGCATCCGAACCGTACGGTCAATTAGACAAACCGGTTTCGTTCTGCCTGTCAACTCACTTTCCCGTACCAAATTTCTCCGCACGATAACAGTGGAACTGCCGGTATCTCTTAACACCGTAATCTTTTTGCCCGCAACTTTTCCAGGCAGCGTTGGCATTCCTTTCGTAACACCGGTTGGCTGTTTTGACATTACAGCACCAACAATAGGAATTTTCTCCCCATTCTTCAATTCTACGAATCCGTCGGTGATGGCATTATTATCGGATTTCGGTGCTGCTTGCACACAGGATACCTGGTGAGTTTGACTCACTCCGTTCCGACATGCATCTGCTTTGTGCCCAGTCTGACCACACTTAAAACATTTTACTGCCGTAGGGCTCGTAAAGATTGTTCGACAGTTTTTCGCGCAATGACCCACTCGGTTGCACAGAAAACATCGCGGAATGCTCTCTGGTGCACGCTTCTTTTCTTCGGGAGCCAATTTCTTCGAATCATCGGGACAATCCTTCTTGACCTTGGCCAAATTAGTGCCACCTTGCGCTTCCAAGAATTGATCAGCCAATTCAAGCATGTCTTCAAGTGAGTCAGCCTTCCTCTCTTTTAAGTACAATGACAGGCTTGGGTGGCAACTAGTAAGAAATTGTTCTCTAATTAGCAGCTCTCTAAGCTCATCGTACTCCTGTGCTGTCCCTGAAAGTTCAATCCATCTGTCGAAATAATGGCAAAGTCGGGCGGCATACTGCGTAGCCGTCTCCCCATCAGCTGGCTTTCCTGTCCGAAACCTGTCCCGGAATCCTTCCACAGTGAATCTAAATCGCTTCAACAAAGCAGCTTTCACCTTGGCATAGTTGGCTGCATCGGTCGGCGTCAGCCTGCCGTACACACTGAGCGCTTCGCCACTCAAGCAGGTACTCAAGGCAGTTGCCCATTGATGTTCCGGCCAATTCTGGCTCTTCGCAATCGTCTCAAATCGGTGAAGGTACGCGTCAAGGTCGTCCTTCCTTTCATCAAACGCTACGAGCAGCTTGCTTGGGTTCAAGCGGAAGCCGTGATCTTCCCGTTCGCTGCTTTTAACTCTAGCTTCGACGGGAGTTTCGCTTCGCTGTTGCAAACGGAGCCGCTCGAGTTCCATCTCGTGCTGACGCTGCCGTTCCCTTTCCTCTCTTTCTTCTTTCGCCCTCTCAGCTGCCAGTCTTTCTTTCTCCAGCTCCAGCTTCAATTGCAGCTCTCTTTCTTCTTTCAGCTGTCGCTGTTTTGCCTCTCTTTCTTCTTTCAGCTGTCGCTCCTTTGCTTCTCTTTCTTCTCTCGCCCTTTCGGCTGCCAACTTTTCTCTCTCCAGCTCCAACTTCAATTGCGGCTCTCTTTCTTCCTTCAGCTGTCGCTCTTTTGCCTCTCTTTCTTCTTTCAGCTGTCGCTCCTTTGCTTTTCTTTCTTCTCTCGCCCTTTCAGCGGCCAGCCTTTCTCTCTCCAACTCAGCTGCCTTTTCTTCCTTGGCCCTCTCTGCCGCCAACCTCTCTCTCTCCACCGCCTCTTTCTCCTTCTGGCTTACCCATTTCCGTAGTTCGGCGCCGGAAAGACCCATCTTCTCACCAAGCGCAACTAACTTTTCGAGATCCATTGTGTCTCGCAACTCGCAAATACAACCTTGCCGCGTGCAAAAAGTATCTGCCTAAATCAGTCTATCGGAACACTCCCTTGCACTCGTTAACGAGAACACTGAACAACACACAGAATCGTTCCGATAGCATTATCACCAACTCGAGGCTCTTTCCTACTACTTTGGACACACTGTGCACCAAAAGGTCCTATGTCGCGGACGCCAGATTAATTGTCACACCTGTCCCGTTAATTAGAGAGGCAATCGCCGGGCTAATTCCAAGGGTCGAAGTATCGGCCCCTCGAACCGCACCACGAAAGCGTGGACAATTTAGAAGTGGTCCTTTTTGGCGCGCCAGCAGACGCCGGCTGTGGTCCAAAGAACAAGTCAGAGCCGAGAGTTGATAAACAAACAAAATTATATTCTCATTAACGGCAGATCAAAACACAATACACACGTATGCACACTCCACAATAGTTACATACAATACGTCACCAATCAAACAACGTACTACACAGTACAATCAGCCACAATTGAAACAACGGACACAGACAACAATACGCACTACAATGCAGTCGCATGCATTGAACAACCAAGACACTTAAAGACTAAAGAGATATAAAACCTATTCAGTCCAAAGTCCTTGGAACAAAAGTCTGAATGATACTCTTCCGAGAATCACTCACTCAAAGTCCAGCGTTGTTGTCGTTCCGCAGCTCTCGAAGTTTCTCTTCCAGGAAACCTCCCGTCTTCAATTGGCCACTCTTCAAACTTCAACTTCTTCGCCGGAACACGTCGGCTTCACACAAGCAGCTGTTGCCCCGCGTCTTCGCTCGATAGCGGTAAACACACACTCTTGCCGGTAGCTCGAGTCGTCACCCCTCAGGTGGAAATCCTCTTCATCTCCGGCTTCGTCCCTACGGACCAAAACTTCGCCGACTACACGGCGGAATCCCTACGTGCTCTGGCGCTCACTTCCGTCTCCTCCTGCTTTCTCGTCTCGGCGGCTCGATTAAATACCTTCCGCGCCACCTTCCAGAAAGTTCTCCTCATTTCGTCGGCGCGATGCGCAACGAAGACTGGGGAGAGGTGCGAGACGGTTCGACTGCCCTCCGCGTCGGATGACTCATCTCGGCGTGGCCACGGCTCCTTCGTTCTAGAAAAATCGCGGGCTTGCTCGGCCGCCGTTGTGGGGTGAGGAGGTTCGTCGATGAAGCCACGCTCCTGCGGGGAGAGCGCGCGCCCGGGAGCCTTGGATGTTTGTTTTCTTTTTTCTTTTTTTTCTCTCTTTTGACCTCGCGGCGTTTTTCCCACCCGTTGTCGCAAGAATTTGGCGGCGCGCTCATTTTTAGCGCTCGTTCTGTGACACCGTCTCGCAACAAAAGCCGAGTGATGGGATTTCAGGTTTGACAACTTCGAAGCGGATGTACCAGTTCGCAAAAAAATAAAGTTGCTAGAATAGAACGCTGATGAAAGTCAAAAGAGCTAAGATGGAAGTTTGCGATCAGAAATTCTAAAAGAAAGGTTGTGAGCTGTAGCCGACGTTTCAACAAGTGGACTTGGCAGTTCCAGCTTTGAACAAGAGAAGTCCGCTTGTCGAAACGTTCGCTGCAGCACCCACCTATGTTTTTCATATTTCTCATCGCAAGGTCACACATGTGAGTTTTGGTAATTGTTCATTTGATCCTTGGAGAACAAGAGAAAGGGATAATGAACGGTCACAACAACAAACTTGATAATGTATACTTCATCAGTGTACACTGATTCAGTATTTTCCTCCAGCGCCCTTTCATGAGACGTTGTGCGTTCTCTTTAAAGGGTACATCAACGAGCAAAATGATTTTTCACGCATTAGCAAAGTACAGTTTAGCGATCTCGCAAACACCACTTTTACCGCGACATGACACTTAGTAAGCAATAGAACAGGAAAAAAAAACTAAATGCGAGTATAGGCACCAAGGTGATATTCCCGCCCCAAACACCACAAAAAAGTAAACTTTGGAGGCGTCTACTAGGTTCTACGAAGCTTCTAATGTATGAAGAAGGAGGCTATTGCCCTCTGTTGTTGGCTGGACTTCTCACAGGATGTTTCAGAGAATTTCATTGAGTGAATGTCACAAAAATCCGAAAAATCTTTTTTGAAAAATTTTCGCACTAGGCGCGGAAATTTCGGGCAAAATTAAGAAAACGAATGGAACTTGATTACATAGGCTTCAGCGCAATGCAGACAATTCAGACGAAGACCATAGGAGACACATATGACACAGACGAGCGCTGTTGTGTTCTGTGTGTCTCCTATAGTCTTCGCCTGAACTGTGCTGAAGCTTATCCAATTATGTACCAACTCTCCCAAGTCGAAGTGCTAATGGAACTTGAACCTTGATTTTCTCCGCTAATGATGGCTTTATGATAGTGAAAGTGGTGGCGTCAGAGTTCTCCGAGTGCAATTTGTTAACGTAAATCAAGTCATTGTTTCTCTCTAGTGTCCCTTTAATAGTTGCTAGAAATGACTGAAACAATGAGCACCAACTAACCTGCCAGCATCATTAGTGTGCCCGCCAGCGACACGGGCCAAGAAGCCTCTTGCCGGCTTACGCCGAATGCCTCGACGATGCCATAAAAGAAGATGCCGGCCACGCGGGAAGTAGCCGATGCCAGGAACAACACCCATGCACAGAAGCACGCGCTGATCCAACTCCACCGCGAGTCAACGCCAAAGTGGGGATCGTCCTTGGGAGGACGCACGATTGGCATCTCGCTCACAAGCCACACGCCGAGAACCGCTGTTTCACGCGCACTTTGCGGTGATCCCAATTACACACCGTGTTATACAGATGAGAATTGAAGGATTTTTCTTCTTGCCTCTACATGTACATGTGTGGGACTCTGCTGTCGTACACTCTCCGACGAGATCTCAGAGTGATCTTTACTTTGGGTGTGAGTGGTGAAATGCATATTTCTGCTGCCCCGTCCCCGCGAAATGAAGATAGTATAGGAGCGCACGCTGCATCTACTAGTGTAAGCGAAAACGTCGTTTGCGGAGAGTTTGCTGATAAAGGGTGAACGCGGTCTTAGGTTCACGCGCTTGCGTTGCTTTATCACTTCGATTTCACGGGCGAATGTCAGCTTTTAGAGAAAGAACAATTGGGCTTGACGCAATGGTGTCACCGACTGGTACGTCATGGAAGAGGCTCTAGCGATAACCTTGTCTACCGGATGCCCAGCTAATCTGTGCCACAATAGTGGCCTAGCCACAAAAGATAGCTGTTTAGGGCGGTAAATACGAAAGCGTTACCTGAAAAAAAGAAAAAAAAAGTATTGGTCTCGCTGCAACATATGGGCACTCTAATGCGATAGCGTTACCAACACCGTTCGTCCCTCGTGCCTCATTACTGTCATCGTAAATGACTCATGTTTTATCTGTTATTATATGATTGTATTCATTAAATTTTCGATGCATAAGTTTATATCGACGAGGGTGCACATAGTCGAGAAGTCTGCGGTGGGGCCCTCAACAATTATCGCCCCAATAGAGGCTTCGCACAACGAAGAGGCACCAGAAAATGCCTCTCCACGGCTTTCATTGCGTGAAATTTAGGCCATGGCTGTCGTAATTCGAAGGAGGCGAAATATGGGAGGCACGTGTGCCGTGCGATATGAGTGCACGATAAAGAAGACCAGGTGGTGAAAGTTTTCGGAGCCCTCTACAGCGGTGGTATTTTACAACATATCGTGGTTTTCGGGCGTTAAACAGTATTGCTATATTACTATATTTATTATTTTATAAGTATTAGTACATTTTATTTGCACCAGAAAATCTCCGATGTAGTGGATAGCTATGTACTGGAACATAGGTATATACTGAGGTATACACTGGGCTTAAGGGGCCCGTAAACAACATCTGCAAAGAACGAACGCTCTCTTCTCTCCGGGCATTCTCCCCGCAGGGGTGTCTGAAGCAGGCGTTTGGTGCTTAGCGGCACCACGGACCCGAGCCAAAGGGGGGGAGGGGGCGTGGGGTTTCGGCTCTTTTCCACGCCTAGTAGTGCATGGCTTAGCCGTGTCCGGAGGAAAAGGGACCCTCGGGGTTGAGCCGAAGCTGGGTGCTCGGACTTTTGAGCCCCCCCCCCCCCCCAGCAATGGCAACACACCCCTTTGGCCCCAGTTTCCTGTACATGGCGCCCCTGGGCTGACCCACATAGGGGAAATTGGCAGTCTCCTTTCTCTCTACATGTTCTTCTTTCTCTCTCACTTTTTATCTTTCCTGTCTTCTACTCGCTTCCTTTTACTTCCTCGTTTATCGGCGGCAAGGGTTAACCTTGTGTAAATATTCAATCTTGGGTAGTTATATTAGGTTATAGCGGCCATGTAGAGCTGGCGCTTACGTTTCCTCTGTGTTTCGTAACGTCCCCTCGTTAGGATCGGTGGTGGGAGGCTCGCATGGATGCCGAATAAGCAACACAGATGATGGGATGACCTAAAATGCAACGAACGTATCGCCTCGCAAAGAGATTGCGCACCAACGTAATCTTCAAACTACTCCTCACGAAAAAAAGACAACTTTCATAAATACCACACTATTCATTTAAACAGTGCAGAAAAGAAGGTCAGAACTATTTCACCCTTTCTTGTGTTCATGTGTCTTATTGACACGCTAGTCTTGAGCTACAAAGTCACCAAGACCAGCAGTGGCAACCTCTTGTTAAAATTAAAAGACTACTCGCAATACAAGAGACTAGAAAACCTAAAGGCATTTGGTGATCAGCCCATCACTATCACACCACACAGAACATACATCGCGAAAGGAGTCGTGTCAGACGGCGACCTGATTTATTTTACAGAAGAAGAACTCTTGACAGGCTGGATGAGAGTGTCATCCAGGTACAACGCATAATTAAGAAGCGACAACAAAGAAACTCCCACCAAACACCTCATCCTTACCTTTAGATCTACAACAATATTTACTGAAATAGTAACTAGACACCTTAAGCTTTCCGTCAGACCCTGCATACCAAACCTGCGATGGTGCTTTAAACGCCAGTGGTTTGGCCACGGCTCCCAGAGATGCTGAGGCCAGCCTACCTGTGCGAAATGCGGCAACACAGGACATTCCGCTGACGACAAATGCAATGCTAAAGTTATCGCACAAACTGTGATGGCGACCATTCCACATATTGCAGGTCCTGCGTGACCTGGTAGAGGGAAAAGGAGATCATAGGCACAAAAAATGTAACTTAACATCTCTCTCCGTAAAGCGAGGCAGCACGCCTCCTCACAATTTGCAGGAAACATATTGTACGCCGAAAAGGTGCGCGGGGATCTACGACCACCACAGTTTTCGGCCCTGCTCCGGCTCAAGCCTGCCATGCTGAAGCAAACGCCACAAGCCCCCACGGCAGCAGCAGCCTCGCTGCTCCGCCCTTGAATAAGGCCTCACAAAAGGCCCTCGTGACCGCTGGCAGCAGCCAAGAAACCGCACAAACTAAAGAGGTCGCTTCGACCTCTGGCCTGGTGTCTTTTTACTGTAGCGGGGTTTACTGTAGCGGCTTTTTTTACCCTGTCGTTCGTTACCTTGTTGTTTTTTACCTGGTTCAATTCGGGGTGTCACGGTGGATGGACGTGTTTTTTGAGCGCTAGCGATCGACTGCACAGATAAGTTGTTTTGCATGTTTTGAGCTTGTATTTATAATTATGAGGCAGCAGTTAAAATCCCTATTTGTACGGCTTTTTTGGGGGTCAGTCACCAAGTTTTTATTAGTTTGTGTGTGTGTGTGTGTTATATTTTTTGGTTTTTTGTTGTTTATTTCTTTTGCCACCCCGAGGGGGAGGTGCACGTACATTGAACACACAAATTTCCATAGTAGAGCTTAGACGTTCTCTTTTTCGTAGGGCAGGGCTCGAGTTTTACAAATATCGAGTGAGACAAGTTATAGGAACAATTGGTGTCGGAAAGACATTGTTAAAAAGACTGTAAAGTGTTCAGGATGTGGGGTTGGTTTGAAAGTGGACCCAAGTGTAGAAGCAGAAGGAGAAGAGGTGGACGCGAAGTGTAGGCAATGTGAGGTCGAGGAAAAAATGGAGAAAATGATGGTTGCCCAGAGTGACCTGCCTATGAGAATCACCGAGCTCAAGACTGCGTTGGCGACAGGGGAACATGCATGGTGGTAGGAACAGGCTGAAGTTGGAAGAGATAGAGGAACAGCTAAGGGAGGAGAGGCCGATGGTATACGGTTTTGTAGAAACACATCTCAGGGACATGGAACAACCTCCTAACAATGCGGACTACGCGTGGGAATATTGTAATAGAACAGAATGCAGCGAAAAGGGGGGTGGTATCGGGGCATTCATTCAAGAAATGAAAGACTGGGAAATGGTCAAGCAGGAGTGCAAGGAACATTTATGGCTAAAAAGGAAAGTGGCAGGGCAAATGACACTCCTTGATTTTTTGTACTTGTTGATGGGAGCAAAAGCCAGAGAGGAAAACCAGGCAACGGTAGAGTGTATATCAAATGATATTCAGGAGTTAGGAGGAGAGTGTGAAATAATTATACTAGGAGATATGATTGCGCACATAGAAGATATAGAAGGGTATACCAACCCGACAGGCAAACTGATCATGGGTATGTGTGAAAGGCTTAATTTGATCATTTGCAACAGTACCGAGAAGTGTGAAGGGCAAATAACATGGGAGGTAGGAAGGCTTCAGTCGACAATAGATTACGCACTGATGTCACATAGGATGTATGATAAGCTCAGGTAAATACACATAGATGAAGGTGGCTCCAGTAGTGTGGGTAGTGATCACAAACGTATCAAGCTAAGTTTTAAAAGAGCAGTGAAAGTGGGAAGGAAACAAGATGAGCAACTACTGGAAAATTTTTATTCAAAAAGGCAAATTGAAATAGCTACTAAACAAATTAGGTAAGTAATCACTGAGGATAATAAAACAGTGTGGACATACACGAATCTAATTAGATTGTGTGAGCTAGAGCTTGCTAAGGCACGTGACAAGTCAGACCGGAAAAGAAGACACAAAACCAAAAGTTGGTGGGATGAGAAATAGCAAAACGTCAGGAAGGCTCTAGGGAAGACAGACGTGCTAAGCAGCGGGGTGGACCGACAGATGATGTTGAAAGAAAATGGGAAATCATTCTAAGCTGTAGAAAGGATGCATTCCTTCAGATCAATGAAAAGATTAGAAGAAAGGGTGCTCAATGGCTGGTAGAAGTACATAAAAAAGATAGAAAAGCAGCTGTGAAATTTTAGAACCATCTTAACTCTCTAAGAAATGAGACGAGCCTAGAGCAGAGGTCTTTAACTACAGCTCAAGCTGCTAGGCTAGAAGGGGACAAGCTATTGAATATATAAAAACATGGGTGACAAACAAATTTCAACGAAGAAGTGCTTTATGCACCACAATAGACAAAGATAAATCAAGTGGTGCAATGGCTCCATTTTCACAACAAGAGGGGGAAAGGGCTGAGAAAAAGGTTTCTAGTAGTACATCAACAGGCCCAGATGGCATTCCAATTATGCTGATAAAGACATTAGGTCCGAAGTCTAATCACGCTTTGAGAGAGGCAGTGAGAAAAATAATAATCGATGAAGAAGTTCCCGATGGATGGAAACTTAGCAGGATGAGCATGATCTCTAAAGGAAAGGGAGACAAAGCTGACATAAAAAACTACCGTCCTATAACAGTGACATCAGTGGTCTACAGGTTTTGTATGCAGATTATAAAGAAAAGACTGCAG